AATTCGGGGTGTGGGAAAAAAGGAGAAGGGGGTTTGGGTTAATAAAAGCATTTTGAGAGGGCAGAAGAGGGGTTTTGGGGGGGTTTGGGCATTTAGAGAGAATGGATCAAGTACAATGAATGGGAAAGCATATAAATTAAGGGGGAAAGGAAAGAGGGGTAGGGGTCGTCCTCGAAAGGGTTGGAAAGAGGGTAAAGGGGGTTTTATGGGCGAGGGGGTTGGACTTCCAGCAAGCGTGTAATGAGCGTGTTAGATAGGAGTGAATGGAGACGAATGATACTTGGGACCTGACGATCTGTTGGAGTGTGAGCAGGGTAATATTTTAGTGAAGGGATTCAGGGAAACCGGTTATTTTCATATAGTCGGACTTGAGTCCTGGAAATGGAAGTACAATGCCTGCACTTTAAAGGAGGGCTTTGGGATATTGGCAGTTTGGAGGGATATGTTGTGTATCTTTATACGTATATGCTTCTAAACTGTTGTATTCTGAGCACCTCTGCAAAAGCAGTGATAATGTGTGAGTGTGGTGAAAGTGTTGAATGATGAGAAAGTATTTTCTTTTTGGGGATTTTCTTTCTTTTTTGGGTCACCCTGCCTCGGTGGGAGACGACCGACTTGTTGAAAAAATATATATATAAAATATATATATATATAATATATTATAAATATATAATATATATATAATATATATATTATATATATATATATAATATATATATATATATATATATATATATATACATATATATAAAATATATAAATTATTATTATTATTATCACACTGGCCGATTCCCACCAAGGCAGGGTGGCCCGAAAAAGAAAAACTTTCACCATCATTCACACCATCACTGTCTTGCCAAAGGTGCGCTTACACTACAGTTTTTAAACTGCAACATTAACACCCATCCTTCACAGTGCAGGCACTGTACTTCAAATCTCCAGGACTCAAGTCCGGCCTCCCGGTTTCCCTGAGCCCATTCGTAAATGTTACTTTGCTCACACTAGAACAGCACGTCAAGTATTAAAAACCATTTGTCTCCATTCACTCCTATCAAACACTCTCACGCATGCCTGCTGGAAGTCCAAGCCTCTCGCACCCAAAACCTCCTTTACCCCCTCCCTCCAACCTATCCTAGGCCGACCCCTACTCCGCCTTCCTTCCACTACAGACTGATACACTCTTGAAGTCATTCTGTTTCGGTCAATTCTCTCTACATGTCCTCTGGACAACAGTTTTGGTAATCTCGCACCTCCTCCTAACTTCCAAACTCTATATATATACATACATACATATATATATATATATATATATATATATATATATATATAAAATATATATATACATATATATATATATATATATATATATATATATATATATATATATATATATATATATATATATATATATATATATATATATTATATATATATATATATATATATATATATATATATGCAATAAGATCACAGTAAACAGGTGATTTCAGAATATGCACATTATCAAGGATGAGGAAATATCCAAAATTTATGAAATAGGTAATGATTTAAAATACCCAAGAAATGTAATTGATAAATCTTTTGAAGTTGCTAGAAATACTTTTTACAATCCAAAAAGGGACAACCAGCCTTATTCAACTAAAAATATGTTGGTTCTCCCTTACCATGAAAACTTGGTTGATATGCCTTCTCTTCTTAAGACTTTTAATATTAAAGTTGTATTCAAAAATCTTGATACAGTAAAAAAAACTTTTGATAAAGAATTCCCCCAAAATACTGATGAATGTGTCTATAAGATTCCTTGTAAAATTTGCGATAAAGTTTATTACGGTCAAACTGGTAAAAATCTCAATACAGATAAAACCAATATCTGAAACATTAGATTCGTACAGATTCAATGCATTTATTATTCATTAGATTTTACATAATCCATTGATCTTCAAAACTATTTTAGAAAGTGTATCATACAATTCATGGTCCGTACGAAAATTTATATCTTACTTTAAAATCAGTTTTTGAAATACATTAAATTCATATTCGAGCTATAATATAATTGATGTCATTTCATATTAATAGATTCCGAAATTTAATCACCACCTGGACCGAAAACTAATTTTAATATTTTAACGGTTAAATATTAATACTAGCTGGTTGTGCAAAGGATTCCTTCCTGTCAGGACCGCGCGCTTAGGGATTAAT